CCAGAACGTGTTTCTTTGAGCCTGTTTAAACATGGGGAGATACTTAGTGTGTTTTGGCAATGATTTGAACAACCTGAGAATTAAGTCTGTGTTTGCATTGAATGTAGGTCTGATTATGATATTATATATTTGATCTTAAAAATACTATAAGTGTTTCTTTCAGTTTACTTATATGTATTTTCAGTAATTATGTCTTTTTAATAAAATTTTGTGATGGGATTTGTGTCCATAGCTTCTGGAATAAGCTCCGGAACCCCCCCCCCCCCGAACCTGAATAGGACAAGTGGGGACGGACAATGGATGGATGGATGGATGGATGTTTGTGCTTTTGTCTTACATTTATTCATTTGGAAGATGCTTTTATCCAAAGTGATTTACAACAAGAGAAATGAAACCTAGTGTCTTGCATGGTGTCACAAACCCGCTAGGACCAACAGAGGGATTATTGACAGAGCCTTTATTGGACAGTGCAGAAGGAACAGTGACTGGGAGCGGGCAGGGACGTGGTCGTGCAGGCAGGGTCGAAAATCAGGAGATCAGGCAGGCCAGGGTCAGGATCCGGGTCCGTAGTCGGGGTCGCAGGCAAAGGGGGAGAGCCGAGAGGTCCGTCCGAAGACACAGACAAGGCACACGAGGTACTCACGAGGAGGAAGAGCGAGGGGAGGAAGGGCAGGAGGGAGGTTGAGATGGGTTGCAGGGAGAGTCGGGCAGGGCGGAATGGAACTATACGGGAGACAGGGAAATGCACGCTCAGTATGTATCTTTGCATCTACAATACCTCACACTGGGCTGTGGTGTTTTCGGGCTTTTATCTAACGTGGAGTCCCGGTATTGGTCGGGGGCAGCCGCCTACTATTGCCGGTTCACCGACGGGGCGTGACACATGGCAGGAGAGAATTGGCTCAATGAACCTGCAATGGAACTAATAATAATAATAATTATTATTATTATTATTGTTATTGTTGTTATATTATTTTTTAAAATATTTTTTATTATTATTATTATTATTATTATTATTATTATTATTAGTAGTAGTAGTAGTAGTAGTAGTAGTAGTAGTAGTAGTAATAGTAGTAGTAGTATTTTTCCATTTGAATATTCTTTCCTCTTATTGGGGCATATCTAATTTAAAATGTACCAAAATCTGAGAATCGCCTCAGGTCATTTTCCGAACCACTTTCCATAATGAATGGAATGAGATGTTGTATGTTATACAAACTAAACTATTCTCAGTGACAAAAAAGAAGCACCTAGAAGTAACGGTACGATTTGGATATAATTTGGTACATGTGCAGACCAGCAATAGGTATATAAATTATATGATTTGCAAGGAGCTGGCATCACCAGACGCAGAGGATGCCTCGCAGACACATTAGTGTGATAGGGGTCACATTATGGGTTTGCATGAGGCCGGGTGGTCGTATCGTGCAATTGCCCGGCATGATGGGCATGCAGATGCCACAGTCGCCCGATGTTGGAAACAATGGGGATATGAGGGCACCCACACACATCATGAAGGTTCCGGTTGCCAAAGACAGACCACACCAACGGAGGATTGTCGTATTGTGGCCCAAGCATTACAGAACCCCATGACATCTGCGCCTGCCATCTGGACACAGGTATTGGACTCTCTACAACACCCAGTGTCATCCCACACCGTGTCTCGATGATTGTCATCAGCCAGGCTATAGGTTCACTGTCCCATGCGTAGGCTGCTGTTAACACCAGCACAGCGATGGCTGTGTTTGGAGTGGTGTCAACTGGGAGGCATGGACTGATTATGAGTGGCATTGTACAATGTTTAGTGATGAATCTTGGTTCTGCATTAGCATGGATGACCGTCATGTGTGCGTATGGTGGCGCCAAGGGGAGAGGACCAATCCTGCCAATGTTGTGGAGAGACACACCAGCGATACTCCTGGCATCATAGTATGGGGAGCCATAGGGTATGACATCATGGTGTAGGGAGCCATAGGGTATTACATCATGGCTGTGTCTGGGACCTCCCTCCTCCCCCGGCTGTCGTTGGGACGTGGGCTTAGCCCACTGAGCCATATGCTGCCCCTTAATTAATCAAGTAATGTTGAAATTATGTTATATCCAGCAGGGCTTTCTAAAGCTTAATAAAAAATAACATGTACAAATATTCAAATTGAAAACAATTTATTATTCATAACATATTATATATTAGGGATGTAACGGTATTGTAAATACCGTCGTACCGCAATAGCAAATTTTTTCGATACTACCGTGGTCGCATGACTTGATAAAAGGATAGGTCTTCTGAGAAAAGTTTGCTCAAGCGAATGGAGCGAACGGGAGGTAGCAGGAACTACAATTCCCATCAGCCCAGGCGTGGTCATCATCCTTTGCGGTCTGTTGTCGCTACAGATCCAATAATGCGGAAATGGCGGGTGCTGTTAGGAGCGGCGAAGGAAAAGAGATGGAAATGGTCGAACCTAAAGCGGGTTTTAAATCGGATGTGTGGAAGCATTTC